AAATGTATGTATATATATGTATGTATATGTATGTATATATATGTATGTATGTATATGTATGTATATATATGTATGTATGTATATATATGTATGTATATATATGTATATATATGTATGTATATATGTATATGTATATATATGTATATATATGTATATATACATATATATGTAAGTATATATGTATATATGTATGTATGTATATATATGTATATATATGTATGTATATACATATATGTAAGTATATATGTATATATGTATCTATATATATGTATGTAAATATTTATAGTATATATATATACGTATGTAAATACATGTACATATATATTTTGTAAATACATGTACATATATTTTTTATGTATATGTGTATATATACGTATATATATGTATGTATACGTATATATATGTATGTATACGTATATATATGTATGTATACGTATATATATGTATGTATACGTATATATATGTATGTATACGTATATATATGTATGTATACGTATATATATGTATGTATACGTATTATATATATTGTATACTATATGTATGTATATATGCGTATATGTATATGTATATATGCGTATGTATATGTATATATACGTATCTGTATGTATCTATATGTATCTATATGTATATATATATATGGATATATATGTATATATATGTATATATATGGATATACATGTACATATATGGATATATATATATACGTATATGTATATATATGTACATATATGTATATATAAGTATATATATATGTATATATATGTTTATATGTGTATATATTTATATATATATGTATATATATGCATATATTTGTGTATATGTATATATGTGTGCATGTATATATGTATATATATGTAGACATGTATATGTAGATAAGTATATATATGTAGATATGTATATGTGTATATGTATATATGTATATGTGTATATATGTATAATATATGTATATATATATATGTATATATATGTAGATATGTATATATGTAGATATGTATATATGTGTATATATGTCTATATGTGTATATATATGCATATGTATATATATGTATATATGTGTATATGTTTATTTATATATGTGTATATATGTATATATATGTATATTTGTATATATATTTATATTTATATATATTTGTATATATATGTACATTTATGGATATGTGTATATATTTATGTATATTTATGTATATGTGTATATATGTATGTATATATATGTATATGTGTATATATGTATGTATATTTATGTATGTGTATATATGTATGTATATGTGTATATATGTATATATATGTATGTGTATATATATATATATATATGTATATATGTATGTATATGTATATGTATATATATGTGTATATGTATATATATGTATATGTTATATATGTATGTATGTATATGTATATATTATTGTATATGTGTATATATGTATGTATATTTATGTATGTGTATATATGTATGTATATTTATGTGTATGTGTAAATATGTATGTATATTTATGTGTATGTGTATATATGTATGTACATGTATATATATATGTGTATATATGTATGTATATTTATGTATATGTGTATATATGTATATATGTATGTATATGTGTATATATGTATGTATATTTATGTACATGTGTATCTATATATTTTTTATTTATGTGTATATATGTATGTATATTTATGTATATGTGTATATATATATGTTTATGTATATGTATCAATATTTATATTTATGTATATATGTATCTATATATTTATGTATATGTATACATGAATATATATATATATATGTATATATATATGAATATACATATATGTATATATATGTATATATATATATGTATATGCATATATGTGTATGTATATACATGGTATGATAGTTTTTAAGTAATGTAAAATATATATCAGTTGTGGGTTA